AAGTGTCCTGGGAGACAGGGTGGCAGGAGCAGCAGGGAGAGCCCCAGCCCGGCTGCCCCGGCCCCTTCCAGGGCAGGGCTGACTCGCCGGGTGATTTGTTGGGGTTAGGAGTGATTGGGGGCTCTGCTGAGGTCTCAGCTCCTGCCCGTAGCTCATCCTGCTGCTAAATCACTGTGCAGAGAGAGGTGTTGGCTGCCTCAGCCCATTGCACCTCTTAATGCAGCAGAAAACCCCCTGCCAAGGGGCAAAATCCTGATAGCCAGTGGGGCTGGGGAGCTGGAGGGAGCTTTCCAGGAGGTCACCCTAATAATTACATTGAATAAGAAAAATCAGGGGGGGTGAAGTGGAGTGGGTTTGTGTGTGGAGGAACGTGGAGGTGCTATGAGATGACGTTAACCCTGCGAGCTCAGAAATGAGGCTGCAGACCCAGAGAGCTCAAAAATGATCAAAAAGAACCAGGCTTGTGCCAACACCCAGGTCAGATTCTCACTCTGGTGACCGCTGGCGACTCTTGCTGTGAAAAATATTCCATGTGTTGCTACATTCTCCTGGTGCCTTTTCCACGTGTGAGCTGCAGGTTTGGTTTTTCTGCCCCCAGATGAATGCAGTTTTCCATTCCAACATCCAAGAGGGCATCAGACACTATTATGACGACCTGGACTTCAAGAACATCTTGGATTTTGTACAAGAAAAGGTTTGGGTTTGGAGGTGGGGGTGGTGTTGGGGAGGTGTGGTTGGGAAGCTGTTCAAGGAGGGGTTAACTCTGTGCCTCACCGAGGCAGCAGCGTTGGTTTTCCGTGGATTTTTAGAGTTTATTCCCATCCCTAAGCTGCCTCTCTTGACCTATCTGGAATATCTTGCTCTTTCTGGGTTCACAGGGCTCTTTTTGCACCGTTTTGCACTGTGGTGTGGACCACACCAGGATAGTTGTTTATCGTGGTCTTGATGGGACACCAGTGCCTAAAGCCTGAAAGCTTTTTGGTTTGACCCCAACCTGCGTAGAGAGAGATGGAGGAATAAAATAACATGCTAAAGATGCTTCAGGGCTGCAGTGACACTTAGAGAGGCCACCTTAGGTAAGTCTCTTTACTCAAGGTGTCATCAGTAGCTGGCCAAGCCCTTGGCTCAATGGGAAAGTTGCAGAGAAGGTGTTTTGATGCAGTAGCTGGAAGGTGAGGAGACTTCCAGCCTCTCCCTGCTGCTCCTGGCACTGCCAAGAGCTACGTCCAGTCCAAGATCAGGGCTTGGCATAGTCTGCTTTAATTTTTTTTAGATGTGTGGATCAATATTCTGTCTCATCTCTAATGCTTGGAGCCTGACAGGAGTTGGCAGGATCCGTTCCCCCAGTCCATCCCCTCTCCTCCAGCCCATCTGCAGGCCACTAAAACCATCCTCTCAATACTTAGGCTTTTTTCAACCAAACTTCTGATAAGCTGCTGCTGTTGCCTTGTGTTTTATGCACCAAGAGTTTTGTTTGAGATACAAAATATTAAATTAAAATGCTGTCCTAATTCCTGCCACTGAGCCCCAGCTCAATGTGATTCCTCCCTTTTGTCTCTTGAAATCCAATCATAGAATCATGGAGTGGTTTGGGTGGGAAGGGACCTGTCAAGGTCACCTAGACCAACCCCTCTGCCCTGAGCAGGGACATCTCAACTAGAGCAGGGTGCTCAGAGCCCAAACCAACCTCCCCTGGGATGGTTCCAGGCATGGGGCAGTGACCACCTCTCTGGGCAGCCTGGGCCAGGGGCTCACCACCCTCAAAGTCAAAAATTGTTTTCCTTCTCTCTCATCTAAATCTCTCCTTGCTGGGAATTTGGGGGCTGGAGCTTCTCTGGTGGTTTGAGTGAGGATATTTGGTGTACCCATTATTTGTGTTGCTCTTGGAGGGAAGCTCTTGGCTCAAAGCATTTGGCAAATGAAAAAAAGGTGGAAAAAAACCCCAGAACTTGAGATCTAGGAGAGAGATTGTGGATAATGAGGATGACGTTGGTTGTCCAGGGTTGATTTTGGAGAGCAGAGCCAGACTTTGCCAGCAAAGCTGCTTTCAGATGAGCTTTGAATGTTCTCACCTCAGCCTGATTTCTGTCTTTGCTCTGTGGGCCAAAGCATCATAATTATGTGAATCTTATCTCTCGTTTGAAGAAAAGGAGCCTGTGAAGCTCCTTCTTTGATGTAGCTGGAATTTAAGGCTGGTGGTGCCCTCCACACTCCCCTCTCTTGGCTTAAACACCTACTTTTGACTCTTGGAGTCATCATTACCCAGCTGAGTGTGTTAATAAGATTAGAAGCCCTCTGAAGGTCACAAGACACGAGTTATTCTGAGAAAAAGCTGAATCTTTTTGAAGTTTTACTCCTACCTAAGAGGATGCTCTAATTCTGAGCTCTCTGTGGGGATGTGAAATGGATGCTGCCAGGAGCTGTTGGGAAGTCCTTGTCAAAGCCAGCCTGGGCAAGGAGGTCAGGCCACAAATCTCCAGATAAAGCAGAGAGATCTGCAGGAAGCTTTCTGTATCTCCAAACAAACGAGGATCAGGCACTTATCATCTCATCTCACCCCCGTTTTACAACGTTTTTTCCCCATCTACTTCTTCACTTGACTTGTTATGAGAAGTTTTCAGGGTTTTGAGATCTCCAAGCTGTACTGAAAGGAGTCGTGGCCCCTCAGGGCGTCGCTGAGACGTCTCTAACATCCCCCCATGGCATCTGCAGCAGGAGCTTTGGAGGAACGTGCAGCTCCTTGCTGGGAGCTTTTAGGGTGGGATTTCCAAACCAGGGACAGCAGCAGTTAAAATGCAACGTTGCTTCATCCTGAGGGAATGACTAGGGAGAAGCAATGCTGAGGAATATCTGCTCCCAAGAGAAGGAAAATGGGTTTTATGGGACCTGAGCAGCCTGGTTCACTTTGGGAAGATGAAAACTTGCAGTCCATCTGGAAGGATTGCACCCAAACCTGATTTTTTTTTTGATAAAACACAAGCTCTTAGCAACCTGTTAGCATCATTTAGTGTTTTTTTTCCTCCCTATCTAACACCTTGTCCTCGGGCAGGTTAGCTGGCACAGGGCTTATTTCACTCAGGCAAAACCACACTGTGCTCTTTTGATTTGAATTTTGCTTAAAACTTCTCTCAAGTGATGCTTTAAACTGGAGCCAGCTGCCTTCACCCCCTGAAACCAGTACCCTATGGTAAATATAAGTAATTATGGTCCAAAGTGCCAGGCATTAGTGTTGGTGGTGCAAATAATGTGGTTTTCTCTGTCCAACACCCACTTGATCTGGCTGCCCGTGAGCAAGTAGATATGGAAATAAATTGCCCTAAAAAAGTACTTAAATGCTTTTATCACTCCTTTTTGCCAAACTCCTGCAGCCCTTGGACATGAAGCTGGACACCACAGGGACTCAAAGGCCCAGGTTTGCCACAAGTCACTGTCTGCAGCTCTCCACCACTCCTTGCTTGATCTTTTTTTAACAGTTTGCTGAGGACAGGTGGAAGAGGAGAGTTCAAACCGCTTGGCTGAGCACGAGATTTGAATTTCAAAGAGCTACCAGGGTTGTGGTTCTTGCTCAAAATCCTGAGTGGCTCCAAACTCAAAGGGAGGCTTGGAGGGATAAGGGTGTTGCACTTGCAAACCTCCTCCTTTCTTCTTGGGGAAGATTAAAGGCAGCTTTCATGGGTTTAGCTGTAATGAGCCTGCATCTCTCGGGTGGTGGTGACAATCCTCGACACAGAGAGCCCCTCAGATGTGACCTGAGAGGCTCTTTCCTTGGGCTGTCTTGGGTTTTTTCTGCTTGTTATATTTCTCTGAGCTCCAGGAGAGCAGGAAAGTCAAACCCAAACCAAAGTCTGTCTCAGCTTGTGAGAAAGAAATCCAGGTACAACAGTAGTTTTGGGCTAAAGCTCTCTTAGCAGAGAAGAAAACACCCTGGTGAGGTTTCCCAGCAGGTAGTAGCCCTTGTTAGAAAGGTTTTGTACCAATTTTTGCACAGTTGTAAAAGCAAAAGGGAAAACCACTTTTGCAGCGTGGAGATATCAAAAGAGTAGCAATAGCCAATAGCTCTTTAGGTGTTTTTCTCCCCCTCTTTCTAGGCAATGTTTGCAAGCTGCCCTCCCTCACCGACACGGGGAGGATTAAAAGCAGTAGAGGAATTAAAGGTAGGAAGGCAGAAAATAGTTGTGAATCTGTGGGTTGGCAGCTCCTGGCCACATCTGCCTCTTTTGGCATGGGAGGAGCTCGGGAGGATCCCAAAAGCTGGTGGCTTTTCCTACTTCTGGTGGCCAAGTGCAGCCACCATACACACTGGGGCCACCAACCCCTCAGCAGGCAGGGGAGCAGATGCTCCCAGGGCTAAACCTCTCCCCAAAACAGCTCCTGGAAGACTGCAGGGCTTAAAGGAAAGGTATAAACCTGGGGTTCTCTGTCCTGTCGAGCACACACACCTCTCCTGCACGCTTCAGGCTCTTCTTTCTGAGGAAAAATGTGAAGATTCAGGCTTGTTTACTGAGAGAAGGGATGACTTGGTGTATAATAAGCCCACTTTTATTCTGCAGAGAACATAAAATGACTTTCACTAAACTTTTTTTTTTTTATCCTTATTCATTGTGTGAATAGAAGAAAAAAGCCTCTTCTTTCCTTTGTAGCTGTAGCATTTGATCTCTAATTGAACTTGATGGGAAGAGAAATCCCTGTTAGGCCGTGGAGCCCTATTAGCATTTTGTCAAATGGCACCAACGAGCCGAGCTGCCTTCAAGAGCAAAGAAATCCATCCATGGAAGGGGCTGGAAGAGCCACCTCTCCTCCCAGGAGGAGGATGGATTAGTCACCTGTAATTAAATCAGTGCAGCATGGGTGAACCTGATCTTTCCTGGGCTGGTGGAAGCAAGGATGCCTCCAGTGACCACGTGTGGGCATCTGTAGCTGCTGCTTGCCTCTGGACAGGGAGGTGGATTGAGAACTGGCTGAAGGACAATGCCCAGAGGGTGGTGGTCAGTGGTGCAGAGTCTTGTTGGAGGCCTGTAGCTCATGGAGTTCCCCAGAGGTCAGCACTGGGTCCAGTCTTGGTCAACATCTTCATCAAAGACCTGGCTGAAGGGACAGGGTGGACCCTCAGTAGGTTTGCTGATGGTACCAGACTGGGAGGAGTGGCTGACCCAGCAGCAGGTTGTGGTGCTGTTCAGTGAGACCTGGACAGACTGGAGAGCTGGGTGCAGAGGAACTTTGTGAAGTTCCTGGGCTGAACACCCACTGTCCTTTTTCACAGTGTCTTTAACTTTGTATGTAGGGTCCTGGAAAGCAGAAAACCACCAGCACCCTCAGTGCTGGCACTGCGAGGACACAGGGGGAGGCTGGAGGGGAGATGCATGGCTGGGCTGGAGATGTCCAGGGTTGTTCAGCTGCACGGCTCATCTTCTCCTTTCCTTCTCCTTGCAGTTTTCCTGCTGTGGTGGTGATGAGTACCGGGACTGGGGGGTCAACCAGTACCACTCCTGCAACAGCAGCGGGCCCCTGGCGTGTGGGGTGCCCTACACGTGCTGTGTCAGGAAGGTAAGGCAGCTGAGGCACCAAAACCACCTTTATTTCACTCAATATTTCAGCAAAAACCCTCTTCTAGCTGGTCCTTACTGTGTCTTGCTGTGCTGCATCTCAGCATGGGTCTGGATGAGCTGTTGTCCTCTGCTTTCCTGTCCAAAAGGACACAGTCCTCAGCTACCACTGTGGGATTTGGGGGTGCCCAGGGATCGTCTTTGCTCACGTCTGCTCTTAACAAGGAGGCTCTCGAGGGTTTTGTTAAAAATGGGGCAGGGAGAGGTATTTGCATAAAGAGCCACCCTGGTGTAATGGAGTAAGAGAAGTCTTGTGAGAGCTGCCCCTGTGGGGCTGTGATTGCAGCACACGGTGAGATGGGTCAAATGGAGATCACTGGGGGATGCTGAGGGGCTGGGGCAGCTCTGTGCCAGCACAGGCTGAGAGCCCTGGGGCTGGTCAGCTGGAGAGGAGAAGCCTCAGAGGGGATCTGAGCAGTGCTGAGCAAGAGCTAAAGGGCCCCGGGGGGCAAGAGGCTGGGGCCAGACTCTGCTCAGTGGTGCCCAGCCACAGGACAAGGGGCAACGGGCACCAACTGGAACCCAGGAGGTGCCACCTGAGCAGGAGGAGAAACTTCTTTGGGGTGAGGGTGCAGAGCCTGGAGCAGCTGCCCAGAGAGGCTGTGGAGTCTCCTGCTCTGGAGAGATCCCAAACCCTCCTGGCTGTGACCCTGGGCACCCTGCTGGGGGTGAGCTGCTGGAGCAGGGGGTGGGTGAGATGATCTCCAGAGGTCCCTTCCAGCCCCACCACTCCATGACTGTGAGCTGGGGAGTGGTGAGGAGGTGGGCACGAGGCAGGGAGTGCTTTTGCAGAGCCATTAGGGTCTCCTGTGCTGATTTTCTGAGCTATAAATGAAGACTCCCCCTGCAAGCAGAACTTCCCTGCTGAGACCAAGCTAAGTGCTCTGACACCAACTCCTTTAATCCAACCGTCCATCTCTCTGCAATCAATCTGACACATGCTGTGGATAAAATGCCAGGAGCTGGGCTAAGGCAGGCAAAAAAAAGGTGCAAAATATCCCTGATTGCTGTGGCCACAACCAGTATAACCATTGCTAAAGAGGTTTTACAAAGCATGGGCCTGGTAGCAAAATCTCCTTGAGGTTCAGAGCATCAGGAGTGTCAGCCCTGCCTCTGAACCCTGGCCATGCTCCAGCCTTTGCTGGTGGCACATGGGAAATGGTTCATCCATCTCATGGTGCTGGGTTTTTAATGGAAAAAGAGGGAAATCTGGGGTGTTGGAATTATCAGTGGAAGGCTGACATGCAAATCAGCTGCAAAAATAATTGGCGTCTCTAATCAGGGCGCTTGATTAAGAATCCTAAAGCTTCTGAAGATGGAATTAGGCATTCAAGTGTTGTCCTTTTGTGTTAGGAGTGAGGATGTGCTGGAAAGTCGAGTGCATTTTGCAGCATTTTTGCACTCCCCACAGTTTTGGGTGACAATCTGGCAAACAAGAGCCCTCAGCGCAGGAGGTGGCATGGGAGAGAGAAGAAATCACAGAGGATTTATGTAGTAGGGTAAGAAATCAGGCACTGGTTTGGCTTCCCACTGCCATGAGCTGGGTCTGGAGGATGCTCTAGAGAAGGACTGGGGCAGCCAGACCCCAGCAGGGAAAGTCCACAGGAAAACTTTGACTTTTTTTCCCAAGAATTATAAAATCATGGAATGGTTTGGGTCGGAAGGGTTCTTAAAGATCATCTCATTGATGATCCCCACAGGAAGGGACACCTCCCACTAGAGCAGGTTGCTCAAAGCTCCATCCAGCCTGGTCTTGAACACCTCCAGCAATGGAGAATCCACAAGCTCCCTGGGCAACCTGAACCAGTGGCGAAGAACTTCTTCCCAATCTCTAATCTAAATCTATGCTCTTTCAGTTTGAAGCCATCACCCCTCATCCTATTGCTGCAAACCCTTGTAAAAAGTCCCTCCCCATCTTTCCTGTAGACCCCCATCCCATACTGAAAGGCCCCAAGAAGTTCTCCCTGGAGCCTTCTCTTCTCCAGTCTGAACAACCCAAACTCCCTCAGCTTGGGCTCCCAACAGAGGTGTTCCAGCCCTTGCATAGTTTTTGTGACCTCCTCTGGCCCTATATAATTATATCTAATACAATTAGAATAATAAATATATAATTAGAATAATAAGTCCTTAACTCTTCCTGATTTTTAAATAGTGTCTTGAGGTGGTGGGAGCTGGGATTGTTCACAGCCCTGTGAGGGACAGGGTAGGTGCAGAAGCTCTTGGCAGGCTGGAGTAATTTCCTTCCCAAATACAGGAGGAACAAGTTGCAGCTTTATGGCTGGAGTCTGGCCAGAGGTGCCCGTTTCTTCTCTGCCATGCCTGGCAGGGAAGCTGCACTGACCTCCAAATGTGCACATTTTGCTTCTTCATCTCTGTCTCCAAAGCACGGGATGTTTTTGTTTTGTTGTCCAGGAGTTCTTCCTGGTTGTCAAAACCATCTCACTGAAAGCATAATGAGTTCAACACGTTATTTTATGGGCACAGGGCTCCTTATAGAGGCACCTGGTGTTATGGAAGCTGCTGTTTGAGCCATGAAACAAGCCCAGAAAACCATGTGATGATCAATCCCCTGAGGTGCCAAGAACCCCACCAGCTCAAGTTGGGCTGGAGCTTGGGGGTGAGCAAGAATCAGTTCTGTAACCCAAAAATCCATCCTCACAGAATTAGGTTTGATTTTGTTTTATAAAGGTCTCAACTAGCAGGATTTGGATGGGATTTATCTCATTAACTGTAGCTCTTAAAACATTTCATTTGGCCAACAAAGATCTAAGCCTTGGATGTCTACAGTCCTTACGTTTCTCTCAGTGGTGGAAGACTTTGGGGAAATTCCCCTTGATTTATGGACCAAGCAATGCACTCAATCCCTGTGAAATTCTCTTTATTTTGAAGAAGAGACAGGACTGAAGGTGTTAGTAAACGTGGCAGGAATTAAATAAGGAGAAAATCAAGGGAGTATTTTGAAAGAGCTGCTTTGCTAAATGCTCTCATGATGTGAAGGGTGGTTCTGGCTCAGATCACTGGAAAAGCGTTGGAGGGACCTGAGCATCCCCTGAAACAGTAGGAAAAAAGAGAGAAAAGCAGTTTTAAAAAAAAATAACATTAAAACCCCCAACAATTGACTGCCAAGGTGCACAGTTTCAGCATTGCATTTGGACTGCCCAGAGGAAAAGGCCCTGGGGGGTTGGGCACAGCCCATGGAGAGGAGCCAGTGTGTGCCCAGGGGGCCAAGGAGCCACCAGCAGCCTGGCTTGGGTCAGCACTGGTGTGGGCAGCAGGAGCAGGGCAGGATCATCCCCCTGGGCTGGGCACTGGGGAGGGCACCCCTCAAATCCTGGGGTCAGTTTTGGGCCCCTCCCTCTCAGCAGGACCTTGAGGGGCTGGAGCGTGGGCAGAGAAGGGCAACGGAGCTGCTGGGGAAGGGTCTAGAGGCCAAGTGTGGGGAGGAGCAGCTGGGGGTGCTGAGCCTGGAGCAAAGGAGGCTCAGGGGAGACCTTCAGGTTGTCCCTGAGGAACAATTGCTTGCCCTGGAGGGTTGCCCAGGGCTGTGCCAGGCTGCCCAGGGCAGTGGGGGGGTCCCCAGCCCTGGAGGGGTTCCCAAGCCGTGGAGATGTGGGGTGAGGGACACGGGGCAGTGGGGACCTGGCAGTGCTGGGGGGTGGTTGGACTCAATGAGCTTAAAGGTCTCTTCCAACCAGAACAATTCCATGATTCTAAAAAGGAGCCTGTGGTTTTGAGGTTTGATGGACACTTCTTTGCCTGGTGCTGCACTGAATGCTCGAGGCAACTGGACAAGCTCTTCTGTTTCTTACTTTTTATTCTTATTTCTTGTATTTCCCCCTCGTCTTCCCCTGAGCTAAGTCTGTTCACCAGCTCTCTGTTCACAGGTCCCTGGAGGAGTCATCAACACCCTGTGTGGGTACAAGACCCTCGAGAAAGAGGTAACGTTGGCTTTTCCCTTCAGATGTCCAAGATTTGCTTCTCCTTTCCCAAACCCCCAAAACAAACTGTTTATCTGCAGCTAAGCTTTCCCCACCAAGGCCAGTTGTCCCTCACACCCATCTGTGAAGTCATTTCTGCTGCTTTTCCCTGTTCTCTCAGGGTGCTGCTCAGGCCCACAGAGCTCAGGCAGGCACGTGACACATTTGGGCAGTCCCTGTAGGCTTTGACGTGGCCTTTCTGGATCAGCCCCAGGAAATGCTGGTCCTGAGCTGGGTTTTGAGGCTTGGCATTAGGAGAGAAACCCCTTTGGAGGCCTTTGGGGGTGCCCACGGGGCTGCGTCGCAGCAGCATCTCCATGCACATAGTCCGTCGCTCCTAGTTGGGAAGAGAGCCCAAGGAACCAAGTCCCAAACACTCCTCACGCTCCATCTCTAGCTTGCAAGAAGGAGCCAACCCCAGCAATAACATCTCCCCCGAGCCCCAGCGTGGTGGTGAAAGCCATGGTGGTGCTCTCCACTCTTCCCCCAGCGCCTGGAGCTGCTCGACGTCATCCACGTGCGCGGCTGCATCCACGCCGTGGGGCTCTGGCTCAAGGACAACTTCGAGGCCACGCTGGGCATCGTTTGCTCCCTGCTGCTTCCACAGGTACGTGGGACACCCAGTCAACATCCTCTCAGCTTCTTTCCCGGGGCTGAAGGAGGAAAGGAGTTCATTTTTTTTAGGGGAGTTTTTTCTCCTCCCCTCCGTTTACAACTGGGGTTTGTGTCGTGGGCGGCCAAGGGCACAGCACTTTCTGGAGAACCTGAGCAGAATTAAAAGCTCACCACTGTGGGCCTGGCTCTCTCCAAACACACTCCCAAAATCTAATTATTGATCAAGTAATAGCAGCTCGAAGCAAGGCACGGATGTGTCCGCGCAGCAAATCCTTTTATATTTTGTTTTTATAGCTCTCTTCAAAGAGAGCATAAATATTAACCAAAATAAGCCATAACCATAAAAAAATTTGTCGTGCCTCGTGAAATCCATTTCCCATTAATGATGCCTCAGGATTCGAGCAACTCTCCAGCACAGGTAATTAAGCTTTTTGTCACAGATGCTCACTATGGAGAGAAGTTTGAGGCTGCAGCTGGGGCCATCCCTCTGCAGCACCGTTGGCATGATGTGGATATCTCTCCTACATCTTTCCAGGATTACTTTTGACAAAACCTTGTTGATTTAGTGTTAAGTTGATCCTTTTTTTGGATTCTTTTCAGGGCTCACAAATGAAAGATTTCTTTTTATCTCGTTGAATGTAATGTTTGGTTTCCATATCTGGAAAGAATCTCTTCCAAAGACAGGCTGAGAGCCCTGGGGCTGGTCAGCTGGAGAGGAGAAGCCTCAGAGGGGATCTGAGCAGTGCTGAGCAAGAGCTAAAGGGCCCCGGGGGGCAAGAGGCTGGGGCCAGACTCTGCTCAGTGGTGCCCAGCCACAGGACAAGGGGCAACGGGCACCAACTGGAACCCAGGAGGTGCCACCTGAGCAGGAGGAGAAACTTCTTTGGGGTGAGGGTGCAGAGCCTGGAGCAGCTGCCCAGAGAGGCTGTGGAGTCTCCTGCGCTGGAGAGATCCCAAACCCTGCTGGCTGTGGCCCTGGGCACCCTGCTGGGGGTGAGCTGCTGGAGCAGAGGGGTTGACCAAGATGATCTCCGGAGGTCCCTTCCAACCTCACCATGCTGGGATTCTGTCATTTGGGGTTTTATCTAAATGAGAATGAAATTATTTTATTTTGTTACGTGTTTCCACTTGCAGTGGAAATTAGAATAGTGATTGAAAAAAGAAGAAGCTGTTAGAGAAATATGTGGCACGTTGAGCTAGTTTTTCAAAGGATGGACGTTCCTCTTGAGCTGTCAGATGGTCCAAATGGAGAAGAGAGATGGGGGAGCAGTTTGTGCCCAATCCTCTCTGTGATGCTCCACATTTCTAAAGTGCTTTCTCCAAAGCATGCAAATGAGCAATGGGCTTCTGCTGTGCTGTCACTGGGAGATGCAAGGGGCACAGAAATGGGGTGAGAAAGTGCCATGCTGGAGGCGACCGCTTCCATCTGCCTCGCAGGATGTCGAGAGCCCATCGCAGGAGCCTCCTGTTGTGTTACCCATTAACCTGCCAACGTGATGCTCTTCATTGGGAAGGATGGGGAGGAAAACCAGAGCTGGCAGTGAGGGTTGCTGAGCCTTGATGAATATCAAGGGCTTTTGAGCAAGCGTTGTGATTTTTCTGGTGCGCCGTTAAATGCTTCTCAGATGAAGAACGTTGTTCTTCCCATCTGCTCCTGATTTCCAGGTTTTAAATATAAATCAGCTTCGATTCTGTCAAGTTTTGGAGGGAATTAAGTTATAAATGGCCATCTGTGTTGCCAGGAGCTGTCAGCTCGAAACCAGCTTCATCCCCAGCAGCTGCCAGCAGAGAGCTGGATGAGAATATTGTCCCTGAATTGCTGATCCAACGGGGAAGGATTTGGTACTGGTGATGAGGGGAGGTGACAATGCCTTGAGCTTTGGGAA